ATCCCAAATCGGTGGATCAATTCCCTAAATCTCAAGGTTTCCAAATTTAATGAGTTGTAAATCTGAAGGTCCTAAAATGCCACATTTTCAAATTCATAGATTCGCATATCTGTAAAATTAAAAAATTCCTGAATACAGTAATTCCCAAATCTCGACTTCCCTTATACCCCGCCGACGTACCTCCATATTGCTAAATTCTGAAACTCATAAATCTGCGTATCTGTAGATCCAAAATCTTGGGATCTGTAGATCCCAAAGTCCCCAAGTCCTAAGTTCACCCTTCTCAAAATTAATTAATTATGTTTGTCTTCCTCTATCAAGAAAAGATGCAACAGCACTTCATCCAATATTTCAGCTGCCAATTTAAACACGAATCAGCGAAATGTATCAAATCCAATAAGTGTATTAAGTGTGGAGGAAGTTATCCAATCAATCTGTATACTAAGTTATCTGATGCACCCTCAAAGTGTGCCAATTGCAGGAACAAACTTGGACAACAATTGTGGCAAGGCTTCAGAGTTCGCTTCACTACATTACCAGTTCTCTCTTTCTCCATTAAGAAAGAGACTTGATGCCAATGGATTTATCTATAATTAATAATATAACTTATTATAACTGATTTATCTATAACTGATGAACTGCAACAGATTCGAGATAAAACCATTCTTTTTAGAAAAAGAAAGTAATAAGTCCTATTTAAAGTATTCTTCAGTTTCAAGATTAGTAACATAAATTTACATCACAATATCTTTCATAGCTAACGTTCTCCACAGATTAAACGATTTTAATATACTTACAAAGTCTTTCGTGAAAAGTGCTAAGAATATGAACATTCAGAAATAACTTGATAGTTTCACGTGAATCTCACCACTCCTGAAAATAATGTGCACAATTTAGATTCAGAAATTTTGAGCCTACATCTTACACTTGAGTACTCCAATTTCTGGAATGATGTTATTCAAACATAATTAGCTTTTCACTTTGTCTTCCCCCTGTTTAGATAGCAACCTAAACCTTGTAGCAACAAAGCGCCAGTAAATGCTGGATTAGAAAGGGAAAGCAGTAAACAAAGATAATCCCTTTGACAATGTACAGTTTAATTTAGTTGTGAACACGTTTATCGGTGAACCGTATACTAATTTAGCCTAACACACACAATTCTTAAGGCTACTATAAGTTAAACCCATATACATTTATTTCTCCTCCCTCATTTATTTCTCCCTCATACAATTTATTTCTCAAACGCGTCTATCAGCTTTAATTATCCACTACTATAATATTAAAACAAGTAAAGGAAGTTGAAGTCAATTTTATATTCAGCGATTCATAGATTGGACTCAAACTTCAAGTTGAAACGTTTCAAAAATTCAAGCAAGATTTATCATATTTGAACTGTGAGTGCGTCACGAGTCAGGCTTGTCAAAGTATAGCAATGAAATTCCTCTCTACAGTGTTTTAAGAATGAGCGAAAACGAAGGCACTTTGCAAGAGAAGGCGATTGGCTATGTCACAAAGGTATACAATTATTTATATCACAAAGGCGAGTGATTATGTACGTGTGTTTGCTCACAGCTATCAGCGTGCGGCTTGCAATTGCCGTGAGAACGGCGGCTCGGCAACCGCTAATCCGCTTAGTGGTTAGGCGCCGGTCAAAAAACTTAAACCTATTACTGTGCATTACTCCATTACTTGTACATTAACCCATTAGTACTATTATACAGGGTGTTTCTAAGATCATAGTCCAACCTGTAACTGAACAACGTTTCCGAGAAGAACGAGTTTGAAAATAAGAGTTCATATAATTTCCTCTGCGAAAGATACTGCTACTTGAGCTTCGTTATTTTCCGTACCCGCATCAAACCAAATGGTACCTGTCATCACAGAGTCAAAATCGAGCTTAATTAGCATAGCATTCCCAATCACGCTAAGTATTGGCAATATTCACAGCGTTAGCCTGCCTGCCAAAGTCCCCGACTTCTTAAACTCTCGATGATGGAACATTTTTGGCACCTCAGATGTCGGACATGAAGAATGATATCGATGAACTTTTGGCCATTCAATACATCCAATAGGTTGTGCAAAATTATTATCAAATTTGACATCTTTGCCTGTATTCTACCTCTAGTGACGAACGAGCATTGGCATCTAACGATACTATTTCTAAGTTCGCATTCCCCCTCGTGAGATGGTAAACCACCCCTAAAATGTTTAAGATACTCATCTGAGGTATCTGAATGGTTCAACGCCCCCTCTGAGGTATCTGAAATGTTTAAGATTCTTCCTATCTGTGATATCTGAAATGTTTAAACTCCTCATCTGTGATATCTGAAATGTTCAAACTCCTCATGTGAAATATCTAAAATGTTTAAGATACTCCTTAATCTCGCCATTAAGTAGTATAACGTCACGTAGAAGTTAAAACGGCGAGTAGGTCGTACTGCATAGCGTTACTTTGAATCAAAGAATCGTCGCCAAAAAGGATTACTTGCAAACGATTGCTGTCCTGAATCCAACTTTTCATACACAGAGAAACAGCTCGATCTTTAAGCAGAGCATCAAAGTGGTCACGAACTGACATGCCTTGCTTATTGCTACAGCTAAACGTTACATGTTTAAGGGTAGCACCCTAATTTTCATGATCGCGTACAGCCTCACAGACTCGGAAACTAACGCAGACAAACTAGTGAATATGGACGCTGGCCACAGAAGCTTCTATGCAGGCGGAACGGACGTGTGGAGCTCTGGTTATTGAATAGGGGGTATGAATGTGGGCTCAGTTGCCCGTGCAATGGATGCAGACGCGTAAATAATACGGATCTATTTGTGATACTAAAACCTACCTTTTCTACTCTAATGTTAACCGGTAGTTCAATCGGTATATCACTGTCAGCCTAAACATTTTAACGCAACTTTCGAATGTTACGAAGAACGTTCTCGCACAGTGAATAGTGCATGTTTCGACCAATTACAAGTGCCATGACATAAAGCTTCTGTACTCCAAACTATCAATACCCAAATTCTTTCAACGAAAAGATAATTACTACACGCAACAGTGTAATATGTACAATTGCAACATACATATTACAGCATGCATTGTCCTTTTTCTCCAATTGATCTAAAACAGCTGATCAATTCACGAAGAAAATAATTCGTACCGCTTCAATCGTTTGGCTGATTACCAAAATAATTCTGAAAAATACTTTGTGTTCACACCTTCTTGATTGCTCTTCCACAGTGCTATCATCACCTGAAACGCTTGTTCCATCTCCCCTAAATTAACAGAGTTAGATCCACTCCCAAAACCCGATTACGCTCCCAACCAGGAGACGTGACTCTCGCCCAACTATAACGTGCTGAGGATTATGCAGTCATTCGTCGCGATCATCCCGGTATAGCTTGTTCATAGAAATCTTCATTCCCCTTACATACCTCGCCTGATATTGGTGAAACACCGCTACCATTAGAATTAGATCAACCTTATTTTCATCTGATCGTCCGCTCTCAGATCACCTAACAGTTGTTACAAATTACCTAACAACAAATTACCTAAGAGTTATGTTAGATGTTCTGGACACTTTTTAAACTTATTGGGAGCCGACTTCAACCCGAACCTCGGAATTTTAGTGACAGAAAAACTTGTCTTGTAATGTCGATAGTAATGTATTGAAAGTTCACTATAAAAATCTATCTGGTTTTCAACTATGTCACGAATTTCGTTGTTATATCAACAATTCTCATTTTATCATATGTATAATTAACTTCAGCAATATATGTTGCTTCAATAAGAATGTTGCTGCAATAATATGACGATGATCTCTATTTTTGATCTTAAGTTATCCTTCTCCAAATTTCAATATTCCGTCACCAACTTTTGCTTTAGTAGATGACCAATTGCAACTCATCAAACGTCTAAAGCTTTCGATAGTATATTGCACAGTCGCAAAGAGCGGCACTATAGAAGACAAGGTCCTCTTGAAGAGTCATCACGGGATGTACATCTCCTAAGGCTCCTTCTGATGCAGAGTTTCAAATACTGAAAGGACTTCGTAACTCGGCCAGGCACTCTTGATATCATACTGGCAAACATATCTTCGATCAATTTTATAAAGCACATACACAGTCAGGAGAAAAGATTACCGAAACAAATAAAACTTGTTCATAATCGGACATTCTGTGTTACCTCTTTACCTACAATCAGTGTTAAATGTACTCCAAACTCTTAAATTTTGCGGCCAAACATGTGTAATATCAACAACTTAATAATTCCAAATTATTTTAAAAAGTTTGAAACTATTTGACTGATTTCATGAGCGGAATCAGATTGTTAGATTAACTTTAAAGCGAATTTCATCATATTTGAACGGATTTTAAATTTATATTTACATGCGGGATATTAATTATTAATTATTAACAATTTTTTAAAGAGGATTGAAATCAACAGTTTTTCCTCTTGACCTGGGGCAACACCTGCTTTTTTTTGGGAGAAGGGATAAGTACCCTTATCTGAAATTATGAAGGATATAATATTGGTATTTCTACCTCGAATTCGTGCTTGCAAATTCGTAATGAGTTCTTAAGCGATAGAATATTGAAAATATTGATTAATTACAGCCTTGATTGAAGAGTTTTTACCATCTCATTTTTAGAAAAATCCAATTTTTATAAATGACTATTCTATTTTTAGAAATGAATATTCTAATTTTTGGAAAATTTTCGAATGCTTTTCTTTCATTCTTTTTTAACTTGTTTCTTTATATTTTTATTTTTTGAATTTATATTTTCTTCTTAATATTGCCTTGATAGAGTTCATAAAAATTCTTTCTTTTAATATGAATAATAAATATCACATAAAAATGATTAATATAATGAAAGGAAATGTAAAATGAAAGAGTAGTGTATTAAAAATGTCGAGTAGTCATTACAGTTTAAGCAGAGTACACAATTATTGACTGATACCTAAAAGAAATATAAAACGCTTTCATACATTTTCTTTATTTCAGTGAAGCCACTGAGCGTGACGATATTAAGCAGTGAACATGCGCCTTTAAGTGCTGATCGGAAGTACGACATAAATTGCATGAGTGTTGGTTCCAGACCGCCAGCCAAATTATCGTGGTATATGGAAGGAAAAAAGTTGAACAACTACACAGAGAAGGTATCTATTTTTTTCAAATTCGTATTTCTAGTTAAAATTAAGTTTGACAAAACTGTAGAGTGCCGTAAGCCATTTTTTAAAGTCAGTTTATAGAATAGTTTATAGAATAATAAACTGACTTTCGAAATCTTAGAACATGTTCATTAGCCAAATTTTGCAATCAGTGCATTAATATTAAACGTAATTAATAATTAAGTATAGTAATTTTTACGTGAGTTAAATAAATGATGCGATTAAAATACATAGTCAAGTGTGAGTACTAATAAATAACAACAAATGATGATGATGTTTGATTGCATCATCAGTAAATATAATTTAAATATTTATTGACCCTTTATACTCAAAGGTACTTTTTATGTGATCTCAACTGTAAAACTTTCTGGTTAAAAAGTTTAAAATGTTCGAATTTATTATTTCTCTGTTATTAATTACTACTTACTATTTTCTGTTTTACTATGTGTATACGTTACATGTATTACACTATACAGGATATTCGGCTACTGGTGGGTGTAATTTCAGTGGTTGGTAGCTGGGGTGATACTGAACATCTTTTTTCTTTAGCAAAATGTTGACTGAAGCTTAGTTTTTGAATTACTAACGAAAATTACTGACCAATCACAGTGAAAACATACTTGTTCACGATCACGCTCAGCTCGAAGCTTTCGCTCTCGCGCCTGGGCGCGCGCTATTTTCGTGCTCTGATTGGTCAGTGTTTTTCGTTAATAATTTAAAAATTAAGCTTCAGTCAAGATTTTGGTAAAGGAAAAAGTTATTTAGTATCACCCCAGCTACCATCCCCTGAAATTATACCCACCGGTAGCCGAACACGTTGTAGGCCTAGGTACAAAGTACTGATTTCAAATTGTTATGTCGAATCGAATAGTAAGTGAGCTACCTTTCGAGTATAAAGGGTTAATTTTTTTAAACGAATAATGGATAAATAACATATTAAATAACATATTAAATAATATTGTACATCAATATATTGTGGTTACATAATGCGTTTGCGTCATTAAAACGAAAATTCGCTAATAAATATTAAGGAAATTTTAAATCGATTGAAATTAACGTTAATCCGACCCGATATTACGAAATTATTTAGCAGCGATTTTTATGGAATATAATTTAACGCGTAATAAATATTATAATTCCAAGTCTGATATTTCCAATTGAAATCAAATTAAATTATGAACGCTACTCATTAGATGTAATGCAAAAACCGTGGATGTTGACAATTTTTTTTGAATAAATTAGCTTTTTTAATACATAATTCTTTTTAGACTAATTGGTATATAAATATTAAAAATGCTGTTTCATATAAAGTTTGTTAATGCAATATACGTAGTTGATATTTAATCAATAAAATTAGGGATATTACAATAAAAACTCTTCCTATAATTATAATTATTTTTTAATTTTAAAAGGTTTCTCAAGATGGTAATATGACTAGTTCTATATTAACGTTCAAACCAACTTTATTGGATCACGACAAAGTAATTACTTGCCGAGCTGAAAATCCTAACGTTCATCGTGGTACAATGGAGGATACATGGAAACTGAACGTTTTTTGTAAGTAAAGCATAAATATATTAGCGGAAGAATAACAAACCTGCAAATCCTAACAAACGATAAAAAACGAAATATTTGAACGTTATTGAATTTTCCATTTTTGTTTTTTTCTCTTAAATCTTTCTCTTAAAAAAACTAAATATTTGACTTCCGTTCAATCTTTCATTTCTCTTAAATCTTCGAATTATTCCTTTTTAAACCCCCGTTATAAAGCCAATAAAATATTTATTATAAATCTCCATTTATTATTATTAAGTTAACAACTGAATTCGCAACCTTTTATTCCTCAGATTTACTTATTAATATCCAATAAATAATTTGTAGAGTAAGTAGAATCCTAATTAAAACCTTCCGCTATATTTTAGACAATTTTTCAATTTTTCTGTGACAAATCGGTGCGATTTTAAAATACCGGGAATTCGATGACATAATGTAAAAACGATTTAATGAAAAAATAATATGTATATTTTACTACATCGCATTTAATGTTTTATTCATCTTTTATCTTCTAGTTGCACCAATTTTACATCTGGATTTGGGATCAAATATGAATCCAGACGACATTGAAGAAGGTGACGATGTGTACTTTGAATGCAAGGTGCATGCTAACCCTGATGCTTATAAAGTAGTATGGAAACACAATGTAAGTTTCAATAGAAAGTCGCGATTTTATACTTCGTATTAAATAGAACATAGTATAAAGTATCCTGCCACTCCATTACGGATTTCGATTTTAAATTAGTACTCATTTATAAACTAATTTAAATTAGTGAAACTTGCATAGTATATGTAGAATACATAAATCAATTGAAACAGCTTTTAATCGTGTATATCTTATATGTTTTATATTTCTAATTTTTGTTCTGAACATTGATAAAATATTTTTTATATATTATATATATTAATTATGAAGAAATAAATATAATATAGCATATTAAATGTTAGAAATATGTAAAGAAGAAATATGTTTAGAACCTAGATATTCAGCCCTCTAAAAGATTCTCGTGTTATTTGAATAAAATTGAAAAATAAAGATTTCGAATTCAAACTAAAACTCAAATCGTTGTATTTTATAAAATTAAAAAATGTAAATGTAAAATTTATTTATAGTGGATTTGCAGGATACTATATTTATATTCGACAACAAAGCTATCGTAAGCAAAAGACTCATAGATTTAGTAAATTTAAGAAAAAAGACGACACTAAAATTTCAGATAGCTTTATTAGATCATTAGTTAATTCAAAGCTTAACTTCATACTGTAAATTTCCAAGTACTTTTTAAACATAGCTATAGAAAAAAAACTATCCAACATAGTCAATATTATCCTTTATGAAAACTAACGGTTTTGTTGCTACATTATTTTTTTTTATTAACAATATTTAATATCGCAACTATCGGTTATACTTTTTCTTACAAATTATAAATATTTGTTATATCGTTTCATTTCACAAACATTTGCTTTTTAATAACATTTTAAAACACGTATTTTATTTTTCAATAATAAGTGATTCTTACAAGATTTCATGATTTAGTATATCAGATATGTCCATAACATTTATTATTAATTTATATTTATGACACTACAAATTTATTATAAACATTTAAGTTTGAGTTGTAATACTATAAACATATTATGTTTATGTGTTCATAATAAGATATATTTAAATCTGTAACGATGTCGATCTCATCCTGCCGCGTTCCTAGGCAACTATAGCTATCCCTTATTACTTGTATCCGCCGGGGCCTCGGATGTCATGGCGGTCCCCTCCACGGTGGTGACTTTCTACAATAATACAATGTGATGGTACACGGTTAATACGGTGCCTTTCTACAAAACGGCGGCGGTGGCGGCGCGGTATAACATTTGGTCTTACATACTATTTTACATGTTAGCTTACACTCTATCTTATATCCTACGATCGGAGGAACGTCCGGCGCGGCGTTCGCGGTACGGTCGGAGATCATCTTCGCAACGTTCGCGGTACGGTCGGAGACCATCTTCGCAACGTTCGCGGTACTTACAACTACGGTCGGATCTTAGGTCTACTCGCATATTCGTCACACCCCCCTCTTCCTGCGGGAAGACCAAGGTAGAGACCTTGATCGGTGACGCTCTTACAAACTGTGTTTACGCATTTTGACGGTTAGCGGATAACTACCTTGCCGGCAGACCGGAATTCGAGGACCTTGCCGGTGGCGGGGTCGGTGATGATAGTCCACCGGCGCCCCTGGGATATCTTTCGGTGCCGACGGAAGCCCACAGGCAGTCGGTGGACGCTGCCGTCTGGAAGCTCGATGTTCACTGTTGGGCATCTTCCGGGAGCCTTCAGCGTCATGAGACAGGTTGCTGGTGGAGCGGCTGGTTGTATGGCGGGCTGCTTCGTAGTCGGCTCAGGTGATCTGTCCCTTGGCGTGACCGGAGCCTGGGATGTCGTGGTGGCCCCCTCCACGGTGGTGGCTTTCTACAATAATACAATGTGACGGTGCACGGTTAATACGGTGCTTTTCTACAAAACGGCGGCGGTGGCGACGCTGTATAACACTTAATCCTACACTCTATCTTATATCCTACGGTCGGAGGAACGTCCGGCGCAGCGTTCGCGGTACGGTCGCGGGAACATCTTCGCAACGTTTTCGGTACTTACAACTACCGTCGGATCTTAGGTCTACTCGCGTATTCGTCACACCCCCCGCTTCCTTCGGGAAGACCAAAGTAGAAGACCTCGATCGGTGACGCTCGTACAAACTATGTTTACGCATTTTAACGGTTAGCGGATAATTACCTTGGCGGCGGACCGGAATTCGAGGACCTTGCCGGTGGCGGGGTCGGTGATGATAGTCCACCGGCGCCCCTGGGATATCTTTCGATGTCGACGGAAGCCCAGAGGCAGTGGGAAGATGCTGCCGTCCGGAAGCTCGATGTTCACTGTTGGGCGTCTTCCGGGAGTCTTCGGCGTCATGAGGCAGGTTGCTGGTGGAGCAGCTGGTTGTATGGCGGGCTGCATCGTGGTCGGCTGAGGTGATCTGTCCCTTGACGTGACCAGGGCCTGGAATGTTGTGGCGGCTCCCTCCACGGTGATTGCTTTTTACAATAAAATGCAATGTGATGGTACGGTTAATACAGTGCCTTTCTATAAAACAGCGGCGGTGGCGGCGCGGTATAACATTTGAGCTTACATACTATCTTACATGCTAGCTTACATTCTATCTTATATCCTACGGTCGGAGGAACATCCGGCGCGGCGTTCGCGGTACGGTCAGGGGAACGTCCGACGCGGGGTACGCGGTACGGTTGGGGTCCGTCTTCGCAACGTTCGCGATACTTACACAACTACGGTGGGATCTTAGGTCTACTCGTGTCCGAGAGGAGGAGGAGGGTAGGAAAATAAATAACACCAGGTTAATGGCCACTTCTGGCCTGCCTTTCTCTTATTAATATTACCGAGATTGTTCCTGGAGTTGACTTCCCGACGATCTGGCAGACCCCGCGACGAGGACTATCCGTCGACGCGGTGTCCAGCCACGGCTTACCTTCCCCGGGACTATCCACAGGGTAGAGAAGCCAGTTGACCGTTCGCTCGGTACCCTGCATACCGCGGAGCGAGGGCTAACCATCGTTCCACGGTCGATGTAGGGCCACCGAGGGTTGGCGCGGCCAGCCCCGGTGCGAGGTCTATCCGTCGCACCGATGCCGGCCTCCAGCTCGCCCAATCCGGGGCTATCCGCAGACTGAGAGGCTTTAGTGCCTCGGAGAGAACCTCCGGAGAGGTCCTGTCGGGGCCGTAGCCCCGAGCCAACTCATCGATCCTTTGATCGATCGCTACCCAAGTAGTATCGGATTTCGGTGGGGGGTCCCCACCTCGCAATGCGCGGCTGACGGTGCGCGACTACGTGATGTATTCGTCACACAACATAATAAGAATGTTATAAATAAAATAATAGATAAACTATACATATCTGATATACTAAATCATGAACATATATTAGTATGAACATTTAAACACAATATTATTTACAATATAACTTAAACATAAATGTTTGTAACGTTATAAATGTAAATGTATATTATTTTATTATTAACTTGTTAACCGGGGAATTCCCTTTTTAACCCTTTTAGTACCGAGAGCCGATGTATCGGCTCTGCTGCACTGGCGAGAAGTGCCAGAGCCGATATATCGGCCCGCTCCTCGTAGCACCTTACTATTCGCATTGCGGGAGAACTCTATCTCAAAATAATTTTATAATACGTTATAAATGGTCTAATTTCATTACGGGAGAATTGAAAATAATAATGAAGTATTATTCAAAATTATAGCACAAATATATTTTAAACATAATTTTGTCAATCATGTATCTTCGACTGAATTTTTGTTTTTATGTAATATTATTTATCTTGTCACAAAATATATTGGAAATGCAAAGTATATACTTTGTAATAAATGGCCAGATAAAATTATGATGAAAAGACGACTTTTTGTATGTGCAAATATGTTTCGTACGAGAGAACTCAACTTTTACTTTTTTTAATAATTGTTTATTCCTTTGCCATTTATATAATTTTCAATGAATATAGAAAAAACTAGTGTCATTGTTTTGTTCGCTATTTTGTCATCCTACTGCTTTTTGAATCATGTAAATATTGTTATTGGTTTGGTTTTTATGAGCATTTTCCCCAACCCTAGTAAAACGGTATTTTTTTTATTTGGAACATATCCACCACTCTCAATAGCGAAATGATACCGATTTTCTCCGTGTCTTAAATTCTTGTCGAAACATGTATCGATGACTAATACCTTTGTTATACGAAACTATACGTCCTACCCGTACATGCTATTGTTTACGTTTGACGTATTTATATGTCCCGCCCGGTTAACAGGTTAAACTCTACAAAATCTTTTCTGTTGAATAAAAACTGTATAATTCTAACAGTTGGAAGTTACTAATTTTTTAATTCGAAATTCTCCACTAAGTTTATCCACAAATTTTGTGAAAAATTGAAGGTAATTACATATTTACAAGAATCACTTATTTACAAAAGTTAAAATTTGTTTTATGGTATAAGTGATCACCTCTCTGAAATATGAGCAAAATATGTGTACAAAAATAATTTATATATCATTTTATATACCACCGCTCATATATCGTTTTACCACCCAGTTTAAGCCTACAAAATTTCAATCCGTAAATAAAAATAGCAATACATCACAAAATTTAAACAATACACTGAACACGTTCGATTTTATCGTGAATTATACCTGAATGTTCTTTTATCTAGATTTAGCCTCATAAATTTGCGTTGAAATTTCGTTAGCTTATTAATTAATTCTTAGTTACGCTAATAAAATTAGTGAACCCACAAATCGCGCATTAATATAAATGCTTTCGAGTTATAACTGCCATTCTAGTTCGATTTATTCGAATTGTACTGCTATTGTTTATTCTTCCCTTCGTGTCATTAATTTCATTTAATTTTTTTCTTGTTAGGTAGACAAAAATTTACTTTTTTTTAATATTACTTGTTAATCCTTGAATTCTTGATAATTCTTGAATATCAACGAACTTGAATATCAACGTTCCTTTTTGCTTTCTTTTGATAAATATCTGTAAATTCTATTCTTGCCCCCAATTTCTAGGAAAAGTGTTAACGAAACAAGTACCTAACAATTTAGAAATCTAATCATCTGATATGCATATTGTTCCAGGGGAATGTAATTCAAAATAATGCTAAAAATGGCGTGATAGTACAGCAATATGGTTTGGCTTTGAGGGAGGTCAATCGCTCCCAAGCCGGAAATTATACTTGTATTGCAAGCAATGTCGAAGGGGATAGTTACAGTAACATCGTTGAACTTAAAATTATGTGTAAGTTCTTTATATACGTTTCTCTTGTACTCCTACGTATGCAGAAACTACGTCACTGTTATATTACCGAACGAAATGTTCATGCACGACGTTCTTTAACCAGTTAAGTGTGTTTGACAACTATATCCGTCATGGAGATGTGACAGAATTTTGTGTCATGACGACTGATGTGACAGAATTTTGTGTCATGACGACTATATCCGTCATACGTAAAATTTTGTTACAATTTGATATTTAAATTGTAATTTTGGCAAAAACTAAATTATATTCGTAAATTGTAATATGTTTAAAATGTTTAGAGATCAACACGAAATGAAGTAAACAAATAAAGAGTGTAAATGATTTGAGATGGATTTATAAATACTTGAGAGCTAACTCGTCATCGCTTGATTTTCGCGACACACACTGGTGCGCGCTTTGCAAAAAGATCACCACAGTTAACTGGTTAAATACACTTTAATCTGAATTTGTAGATTGTATGAATATTAGTTTATCACGAATCGATTAATTTCATAACAATTCCACTTAGCTCTTTCAATGAATCAAATTTGTTACTTGATATTAACAATTATCGAAGAATCAGTTTCATTCAAATTTTAAGGAGACAAAAGAATTTTCGATTTGATCAACTTTTAGGTTATACAATCTTAGTGTGCTATATCACAAAGACATACACTTTCCAAGGTATTTCAATTTCGATTTACACACTATGTAAAAGAAACTACAAATAATAACGTACTAAATTAAAAAATCGATTATCGTTTAAAATATAAGCGATTGAAAATTAAATTTCACTTATATTAAAAATATTTCTTATAATTTTATAATATATTTGTAATAAAATGCAATGAAGAGTTAATATATTCTCATGTGTGAATTTATTTTTCCATTAATTTTTGTTAGTAAGAGAATTAAATTATCAAAAATTGCAAATATTTATTAGAATGAGACATTTCTCTTGGAATTCGTTTTTGCAAATTAACTGATTTGTTCTTCAGACGTTCATTGTTAAAACAGAACAGGAAATATATCGTTAATTTAGTGGATTATTTGAAGTGTACAAACTTTGCTATAATTATCCTATTTTGAAGTTGTATATATGTATACCGTGAAAGACCGAAATTAGAGAATGTCGACTTTCAACGGTTAATATCAACACATACCGAATACATCGGTGAAAGATTGACCCTCACCGGTGTATGTCAACAATCACAGTTAAATTAGATTAGGTGTATGTCTACATTTACCGGTATAAGTCAGAAATAAGGATATTTACCAAACATTTCGGACATACACCAAGCGACTATGTGAATGTTGACATTCACCAGTGACAGTCGACATTCTTCAAATTTCGGTGTTTCACTGTAACATACAGTCCTGGACAAAAAGATAGCACATGTGTGCTATCTTTAATTTCTTGAAAATTACTTAGAATTTTTTAATGTAATACATGTCATTCTAATTGTTACATACACTACCGCTCAAAAGTATGTGGACACTTTCAATTTTTTTAGATGCCCGAAAATATTGTGATATCTTTGAATTATTTCTTTATCGTGTATGTATTCCACTTCCTCCAGTGTTAGACGACATATTGTAATAATAATTTGTTAAATATTTTACCGATAGTGATGAAATATTTTTAAATTTTCCTTTCGTTAACATATCCACCGCGTGATGTAATTTTCGCATTTTCGTGTCGTGGCATCCTGGCTATATAATCATGTTTACAAATGTTTACGTTAGTCTTGAGAAGGCAACAGACCTCACTTAAGCGATGCAGTCATTGCAAACTGCCAGAGAAAAGACCCACAAACTCTACGCGCACAACGCAAAATAACAAATATATTTATTTCAGAAAGTTGTATAAATAAATTGATAATTTAGTAATATTATAATGCATTACATTCATACTAATACTAGAATTTATGAACGATTTTGGTTAACAATAAAAATATATAATATGTATCCAAAATTCAAGAAAATGTAAGTGTCCGCATACTTTTGAGCGGTAGTGTACATGGCAGAGAGAAGGAACTTCTTAGTAAATATGGTTAACCTTGCTAGGTTTCTGAGTAAGCAGAAGAAATATACAAATACTGGCGACCAAATGATAGCACATTGACAAAATTTATACATATATTTTCGCAAAAAAAGAAAGTTACATTGCAATTAATACAAAGTTAATAAAGAATATATCCACCTTTATTTTCTATTACTTCGAGTACCCGCTTTGGTAAGGATTGTATCACTTCGAGTACCCGCTTTAGTAAGGATTTGTATAACTTTTTAATTGTATTTTGTGGCAAATTATCCCAATCTATCTTAATAGCTTCTTTTAATTGTTTAATATTATCATACTGTTTTCCATTCTTATATACAGCACGTGCTAGTTCTCCCCAATAATTTTCAATAATATTCAGGTCTAGGGAGCGTGCGGGCAACGGTAAAACCGATACGTTTTCTCTTTGAAAAAATTGTTCTTCGACTTTAATTCGGAGAATTGCAGCATTACCATGTTAAAAAATAAATTTATCAGTGGTAATTCGTAGTGCGCGTTCATTACTTTGTTTTGAGAGTAAATTTATATATTTTTGAGAATTCATTTTTCCTTCAAGAAACTGTACATTTGTTTTGCCTTTGTATCCATTCCGTTTAAATTCCAGCCCAGATCATTACACCACCCCCACCCATTTGTCTTTATTTTTTTACTAATCTTTCTTTTTTTAAATCATGGTAGTAAAATGAAAACGTCAGTAAAAAAAAATTCGTTTCCATTTCTTCGAAGACAAATACAAAATACAATTAAAAAGTTATACAAATCCTTACCAAAGCGGGTACTCGAAGTAATAGAAAATAAAGGTGGATATATTCTTTATTAACTTTGTATTAATTGCAATGTAACTTTCTTTTTTTGCGAAAATATATGTATAAATTTTGTCAATGTACTATCACTTCGCCGCCAGTATTTGTATATTTCTTCTGCTTGCTCAGAAACCTAGCAAGGTCAACCATATTTACTAAGAAGTTCCTTCTCTCTGCCATGTAACAATTAGAATGGTATGTATTACATTAAAAAATTCTAAGTAGTTTTCAAGAAATTAAAGATAGCACACATGTGCTATCTTTTTGTCTAGGACAGTATATTCCCAATTTTTCTAACTTCCCAAACTTCTAATTTTCCAATTCACTAAATTTCTCAATTACTAAACTTCTTTATTTCCAAATTTCATAATTCCCAAATCTTGAAAGTCTTGGTTTCTCAAAGTTTCCGAATTTCGAAATTCTCAATTTTCCGAATTTTGAAATTTTTTAGTTCTTAGATTTGACAATATGCAAATCCCCAAATTTCCAGATTTCAGGTCCTAAAATTCACATTCATAAATCCTGCAATTCCAAAGTTCTAAATAACTATAAAACATCCATAAAAATGTCCTAAAATAATTCACCCCAAATTCCTACATTTCTAAATGAACAAGTCCCTAAATATCCAAACTTGAAGTTCCAAAATTCACATCCCTAATTCTTCAAATTCCAAAGTTCTAAATAACTACAAAATACTTGTAAAAATGTTCTAAAATAAATCACTTCAAATTCCTATAATTCCAAATATGCAAATCCCTAAGTAAGTACTCAGATTTGGACTTCCAAAATTCACATCCTTAAGTCTTCAAATTCCAAAGTTCTAAAAGCTACAAAATATTCTAAAATACGCAGTAACCTCATCCCTAGACCTTAAAGTTCCTAGATACCCATATCCATAAATATCCAATTTTCTGTACTTACAATGCTATATAACAAACTGTAAGCTGAGTCACTAAGTCGCTAATAACCCAAACAGTGGTTGATGCGACTATAAGCACTAACATAAAAAAAAAATGGTTAAATCTAAAATTCTCAAATCCTCAAAACCAACGAATGAAGAATTTCTCCCGTAGCATATTTTCCTTAGAAAAACCAGATTTGCTCTTCATTGTACAATTTCTTACATACGTTTAGTTATACCAAAAATATAACAAAGTTAATGATACAAGGACATAAAATCCACATAAAATAGTATAATAAATATGTGTATTAATTTATGTACAATTTATTCGAAGATTTTAATGAATACGTGCATTTTACCAGATAAACCTATTTGCGTACCGGATCAGAAGCGAATCTATGGCGTGGCACGTCACGAAGATGCACGAGTAATTTGCAGGGTCGAGGCATATCCACCACCAGACAGCTTCCGTTGGACTTTTAATAATACAGAGGAGATGGTAGACGTACCGCAGGCAAGATACAAAAACTCCACACGACACACTCAAAGCGTTCTCACGTATCGACCAGTCACAGAAATGGATTATGGCACAGTATTTTGCTGGGCAAGTAACACTGCTGGTCAGCAAAAGAATGCCTGCATTTTTCATATTATTCCGGCGGGTACGTATTCGTATCAAATCAAACGTTATTTCGGAATACGTGCTTGAAAGCATTTTTATTTTATAAATCTAGTATGCATTAATATTAGGTAATATTAGGATTAAGGTTTATAAATGGGGTATTCAAAAAGAGGCGCTTATTTAATGAACACAATATCGATGTAGTAATTATTTAACGAAAGATGTAGCACGAATTATTCATTTAATATAATTTCGATAATTAGTAACATTTCGTAAATATAATAATGATGTAGCACCAAGTATTAATAAATATAATTTATTACTTATACTTAATAAATATATTTCTTAAGTTTATAACTTAACTTATTTTAATAAATAGAATATACATAACACTAAACGCTTTATATTGTATTTACTAAATATAATAACGACATACCAACTACATTTATAAAAATAAACCATAGACTATATCAATTTTATGAACGAATTTGCTAATAGTATATCTTATATTTTTTTTAATTCTTGATTTCTAAGATTAACACAGTTATTAATAACTACTTTTTCTTAGTTTTTGACGATTTCAGGTTCAGAAGATGATATAAATTAAATGACAGTAATGATGTGATCGAATTTTATTTTATTACATTCCTATAATTTTAAAATAATCATTTTATACATCTACAACTGATTGTTTCTGTGTAGTAAAATATAAATTATATAAAACAATATGTTGTTATATAACTATACTAATTATAACTAATTGAATTATTTAAATTATTTAAATTATATTCAAATTTAATTATAAATTTTATTTAAAGCTTTATAAGTTAATTTATTTGTATATAGATATGCAGAGATATATCCAATCTCTCAATTTTAATATAAAAAATGATAAACTACGTATTATTACCTAAATAGATAAATTATTTAAAACATCCTGAATGAGAAAGTATTAAAAAGGTAATATAGAAAATGTAAACAATTTATAAGATATTGTAAATTCAAGAATAGGATATTTTATACAAAACCATTTCATGGACTATCGATTTTCTTCGCGTTACTTCAATCCAATATTTTTTCATGTTAAATGTTAACAGACATCGATTTTTATAACAAAAATATACAGTACCATATAAAAAGCGTATCGCATCCTTTTTCACAAAACTGCATATACATTTTGCATAAATCGATCTTTTACAACACTCTGCATGAAAAGTATTCGTGAAAAATGTCCAAAAATTCAATCGTATATAAAATAGCTTAAATTTTATAATGAAATATATGATATAAAAATATGGAAAAATGTGTATCTCAATTAAACGTACTGAATTACAAAAACTTATGATATATGTATGTGAAGCTACATTTTATTTAATTTAAATAAGCAGAGTTTAGTTTAAATAGTTCAAAATAAGCAGAAATGTTAATATCAGTAGAATTCTCACTCAATTGTTAATTACCTGAACAAACATTAGATTTACCTTAAATGCACGATGCCAGTTGCATGGAATTTTTAATTTCCGTAAATTACTGTTTGTAGGAAAGCCTGAATCTCCGTACAATTGCACCTTATCGAATCAAACAACGGAATCACTCTCCGTGGAATGCTCAGCCGGCTTTGATGGTGGTCAACCCCAACATTTCCTGTTGGAAGTTTTTGATCAGCATACAGGAATGCTGCAAGCAAACCTCACATCCAAAGAGAATGCAGTCTTCACTGTACAAGGTTTAGAATCCGGCAAAGTTCTTAAAATGATTCTGTATGCTGTAAACGCAAAGGGCAGAAGTGAACCGACGCTTTTGGAAGGATTCACCTTAAAAATTGCGGAAAAACAGACTGGTAAATGATATTTTGAGTCTTTTTATATTTTGCCTATTATTTCTTAAGCTCATTGGGAAGAATAAATATTACATCACGCGATATCGCGTGCTAGGTCGATTAAATCGCCGCCACTTCAAAAACCGCGATCTCTTAAAAATTCTATTAGTTTCATATTACAATAATTTACAAATTCTGTATTATCAGTTTTAGATTTTTTAAAGATCGTGTTAATATAACTAGACAAAAATTAAATTTTACTTCGTAAAAAAATCTGAATAATGTGTATATCTTTTTTGGACATTCAAACTGCCAACAGTGATAATAAATTTATCGAATAAATTTATAGCATGACTGATATTAATAATTAATTTACATAATTCCTGTCTAAAACATTCTTCATTAAAAAAACCATTGGTAAATTTGAAGCATCTATAAAATAATATATCATATTTGATAATAGTGCTTAACATCATGACATTTTAAAAGTAAAAAAGAAAATAAATGAGTAATGTTTTATTTCTAAATTTGCATATTTTGATTATAAAAACAAATATGTTTGTACATTAAAATTATAATTTATAACAAAATAATACATAATAGTATAATGAAACAGTTTAGAGAAAATAATTAAGTGCACTTGTAATAGTTCCATTTTTTACTTCAATTTTCTTAAAACTTCCTCATAAAAAAGTTTATTCTTCGTTTCCGATTTATTTTTACGTTGTAGAATGTCTCCGCTGGCTCATGTGTCCTACACTGCTACACCATGTATACGGAAACTGTAATCTTGGGCTTAAACATAGAGTCATGTATACATGGGTCTTTTGTGTCCTTTATAGATTTCGACAGCATGCTGTTCAGTAACTACTTAGCTGACACAGAAAATCGACATCGTATGGTTAGATTCCACTAGCCAACAACTTTTTTAGGAGGGTAAACCAAAGCCCGTTACTTATTAGTTTCCGAAAAATCAATACCTTTAGAACCAATCTAGACAAAATTGACTCGCGTTTACGGAGTGAAGTTTAAAAAGTAAAACTCTTAAGATAACGCGAAATAAAAACGCTTTAATTATTTAAATAAAACAAAATTAAAATGATTTTAATTTCATTTCGTATAAACCGTAGCACTTCATTTTCTTTCAGTAAACAGGTTGACTTTATTAACTTTAATGTAACATTAAAATTTGTTATTCATATTCAAAATATACAATAGTTTTGTTTCAGTAAATATTTTATATAAATATTTCATACAAAGTGTTGCTAAATCATGAATATTGTACTAGTTGTTAAAAAATCAACGTAAAGAACTTACTTCTAAGTATAACTGCTCAATAATTTCTGGCCATGTCTTATTAAGAAAGATTTACGTTTAGAGCCCCGAAAGTAGAGGATTATCGAGTGACTGCTATGAATACAATAAATAAATGCAAATGTTTTATAATGGTTCACTTTTTACCATATGAAAACATCAAAATTGATTTCTCATTTTAATTTACGAAAAATAGTAGAAAGCTTTTGTAAAAATGTAAATTAACCTACGATATAAAGAATATACTTACGATATAAAATTTTATGAGATAGTTTACGTATTTATTTTTGTAGTTTAATTTCAATTTAAATATGCGAAGTTTCACCGATATTTTTCAATTTACTTCCAAAACTATGGATTTAGAGGGGTTAACCACAGCACTGGGTAGAGCAGGCCATTTCTGTTAAGGATAGCACCAAGGAAACTGCGGAACCTCCGATAGAGTTTCCGAGGCCCAAGGCAAAAATCGATATTATTGAGATACAACTCCTCGTATATAACAGATTTTCAACGCTATCGGGCACAGCTTAGTTAGATTAACTAAGGCTTACTGAAATCTAATCCAAATCTAACTCGATACTAACTCAAATCTAACTGTTACCACCCATTCTTACAGTTCTCACGCGGACAATGGCGTGTTGTTTTTGTAAATCGAACACGAGAACGATACAAATTAATTTATTTAACTTTCAAAATGTGGAATTGAAAGAAAGGTGCAGTCGTAATTTGTTTTTCGTATAATACATAATTTTTGTCATAAATAAATGTTCGAACTTCTAAATTTAAAAGTTGACTACTTACCAGTAACTGAAGGTACACTATAATAAAAAATAAGAAAGTCTTGCACTAAATCTAAAAATGTGAACAAATGCAGACCAGCCAAGTAGTAACAGTTATAAAACTGGAAAAAGTATCGGTTTATTAATTTTATATTTTAGAATATTGCAAATGTGTCATACGATATACATGTATCGTATTATATTTTAATATGTATACGTTCATAATCGCAATATTATAACATAATTGTACAAAAGTAGTACGTGTTCTGTTCACAGGTACCCCGGTACCATTCGAGATCACCCCATTATTAGGGGGTTTGATCGGAGTGGTTACCGCATTACTTTTAGTTACTATCACTATTCTGGCTGCCATGAAACTCAGAAGCGAAAGAAGAACTCAGAGACCAAACGATTTACCATTAAAAAAAGGCACCGCACCCAGCTCCGAGGATCTTTACGACACCGATGATAGAAACCCAGACGTTGTACCAGTAAATAAAGGTATATATCACGATAATTACACAACTGCCATCAAATACTTCCTACGAAATCTTCGCGAACTCTTTTCTCCCTAACTTCTCTTTCCAAATGTTGTTCAGCCTACCTTTCGACTTCGTTCCCAAAGTTTCATCACGTCTAATTATCGTCGACATTGCACAACTGGCGATCAAATCCGAACAGGCCTCAGCGCTAACTTTCCCAAATTTCTTTTTCTTTTTCTCTATGTCTTCTCTGTCGTTTCCAATTTATCTTCTGTCGTTAGACTAAAATAAAAGACAAAAGACTTTCGGCTCGGACAAGTTACCTTGTCGTCACTCTACGAGTTTGCAATTTTCTTTTTGTATTCTGCTTTTATCAGAGTAATTCTCCTTCCATCCCCATTTAATTAATGTAAAAGTATTACTATTTTAATACAGTCATAAATATTTTTAAAGTAACGAGAATTAAAACTATAAGCACATTTAATTTTGTACATATGTTTATTCTTATAAGTTGTATGCATGACTTATAATTTTTTATTCGTGTGAGTGATTTACTTATATAAGATTTAATTTGCATTAAGAATTAAATTTCATTTAAGTTTTTTCGTAAATGAAAGGTTTTTTTGTTTAAGAAAAAAAGAAGACAAAAAAATATAAATTTAAAATTCATGCTATTTTTTCAGTAGTTTTATAATTCAATATAATGTTTCCAGACTCTGTTGCATACTCTAATTGATTTTAATACGGGACTTAATTACGATGTGTATTTAAACAAATTTTTAATTCGAAGGTTCAGATTACCAACTAACGGGATCAATGTCTGGTACACCTTTGGCTACACAAAACACACCAGATGGACTTGTTCCAACTTCACTTTCTATTCAGCAAGTGAATCATCTTCAAGGGCTGTCACCATATTCGCACGAATATAATAACTACCCAACTTTACCGGTAAGTAATACTAAATTCATACAATCCTGTAATTAATACATTTACATTGTTGATACTTTAATGGACAAGTTAGTAATAATATTAGTAATAAATGAAAAATAACTAAACGATTAAAAATGAACTTCCGAATAATTACCATGTAAATTAGTGATTAACTGTTTCTAATGTATACATATCGTGTGTCAATGTACATTATCAAGTATTTTCGATTATCAACCCAAAAATCTTTACATGTTTATAAAAAACAGCTGTTCCTAATCATATTTTATATATCAAATGAAATACAATGAATGTAGCCTTATTGGAATATTACAAATAATAGAATCTTTTATTTTTTTCAGCTATCGGGTGAAATAACGTACGCTGAACTGTGTCTCGCTCGACCAACGACCTTGTCAACATTAGCGAACGACACGAAATTGACAAGCATAAGTGGGATTGGTAGTTTAAGTACACTCCCGACTTATGGAAGCGGAGTAATCGTAGGTGGCAAACCGTACACAAAAGAAGCGACAATCTACGCTTGCATAGACCATAACGCAAGACCACTGAAGGTTGATGTCTCTAACGCATCGTCGTGTGCATTAACGCCTTTGTCAACAAAGAGCACATTTCAAGACCTAAATGGTGCGACAGCGAATAACAAAAATCCCACGAGAGAAGTTGTCACTGTTCGTACACCATTAATATCGACTCAAGAAAGTTGTGTATAGGGCTGCGACTTTGACGCGCTGAACGTCAACGAATATTATGTTTGATGTGGCGATGATTCGCGCGTCTAGTTACTAAACGAGGTTCATTAACCGTTTGTCCTACACAATAAGACATATATGATCTTTGGTATGCGATAAACGTGTAAGGTAGTAAAATGGAATTTAATGTCAGATGGACTGATCAATTTTAAATTATCGAGTATTCAATCGGTAGCGAAAGAACGCAACGGAACAATGACTTTTTTTTAACATATAATTATAAAGCGTGATAATTTGTTCAGTTTTTTGAAAGATATTGATTTAACTTAAATTTCGTCGATAAGACTGATTTAAGTATTTTGCAACTGTTCGTATATATGAAAGTTCATATTTTTTAGTTAACTACGTCAATAAATGTTATACTGCAAATACAATAAACTTTACGAGAATTTGCCAATGATTGATGTAGATGGCATCCACGTTATATTTTACTGAATTAAGGTACCACCATAACATAAGAACCTAGCAGGACAGCTAATTAAAACAAGAACGGTTCAATAATTTAACTTTAAGGTCTTTTATGTATAATACTGAATATATACACTACATGATATGATTGATAATAAGTTTTCATTTTAATCGATTTTTATTTGATATATATATTCGTACGTATCGAATATTATAACAAGATGTGTATACTGTACACAAAGAACATGATTAGAATATACAAAATATGTTTTCTAATTTTAGTTTTCTTTTACTTACCCACATTTCAAATTCATTTTTGTATATACAATTAATTTGTAAATATATCCAACATGTGTTTCAGACTTTTTTTATAAGTACATAGTGTGTCTAAAAGGTAATCATTTTGACAGCTTTATGACCATCTGAAGATACTTTATACTACTTAAAAACTAATATCTTTGGTATAAAATATTTTCTATAAATCCATTTTAACTTTTCGTAAGTTTCTGATACGTTCGACACAAAATTTAACCACATGACGTTCGAAACATCCTTTAACTAATTTTGTTACACATCACTGCTATGCTTAAGCAAATTATTATCGATTCAGATCTGTCAATATTATCAAGTTAAAAATTGCAATAAATATTTATATGCACACGCCTCAGCTAACATTAGCCTGCACTGCTACAATGTTATTAGTTTCGAATTATGCTTTTAATCCCACTACTTTTTAGACACACTTTGTATCCTTTTTTATCTTATATACACCTATGTATTCATTGCTTTCACGTTTTGTATCTTTATTAAAAAAATATTTTGAAAATTATTTAACCTATTCGCAACGATATCGAACTCACACACATAGGCCTAAATTGCAGACAGTGGAAAAACATTGCAATTACTCTGAGATTACAAGTTATATTTGTCCCAAAATGTAGTAACAATATTAATTTGAATACAAGGAATATGTTTTGATTAAATTAAGTAATTTTGTTTTTAATTTAGTTTTCTCTTGCCTTTTTATATTCATTAATATTTATTATATCTTTGATATACAATGTACTAATATATCGTCCGTTGTGAACGACCAGTACGTCTTTGATGTACCACTCCGTCATCCGTCGCGAATGGGTTAATCTGTATTACCTAGTTTTGTGTGTATATATATTAATTCGCTCTATATTTACACTAATTTTAAGAAACTATACGTATTGCGAACTATTAATAAACGCGTGATGTAAATATCGTTGAAGTATGAAAATGATCAAGAAAAATAAACACAATGTTTCATAGTCTTTTTTAAGGACGATATCCAGTTGGATTTTGATTGGAAGTTTATCAAAATAAATCAGGATTTAAGAAGTATGTATGTATAAATTCGTAAGTATAAACTAATTATGTAAAAAAATTCAATTTCAAATATCAAAAGTATCAAATTGTATTGTAAATGTGTCAAATTTTATTCAGAAAAGAATGTAATAAGGATATATAAAATACAGGGTGTTTTAAAAACTTAGTATACTACAAAAATTGCAAATTTTTTATACTAAAATAAATAAAAAAGTCCTTTACTAATTTGCAATTTTAGATATCACTCTAAAACAATTCATAATTAAAGAAAGCAAAAAGTGCTTTTAGAAAACACATCATTATGTTTAGAACCTTTGTTTACTCTGTTAAATAATTTCTTGCTTCGACATAAAAAGTATTACTATCAAATTACACTAACATTTGCTGCGCTACAAAACGAATAAAAAATGACCTGTTACTATTCGTAAGTAGAGTTTGTCAGTCTTTTAATTGTGCACTATCCTTTAGATTCAACCATAACACACCAGATTTAATTTTCCTTATATCCCAAAAATGAAATCACAATTATAAAGGACCTTTTGATTTATTTTGGCACAGAAAGTCTATAATTTTTGTAAGTACTACGATTTTGAATACCTTGTATAATATCTTGTATAAGTAAGATTCTTCAGAAAAAGGTATGTTTTATGATTATTTTTCTTTTAGCGTACTACATCGCACAAAATATATGTAAACATTATTAGTTAACAATATTTATAATCGTAACAAATACATGCTTCCACATTTATTTCAATCACTAATTGTATACGCAATTTTAAGTGTAAAGGATTTATATATGAGAAATTCGTATGTGATTTCTTACTGTCTATATAATTTTTGTATTAAGTATAATTGGCAACATCCATAAAGAAGAAACACATGTAAATACTGTAAATGCTCATATAATAGAAAAACGTGATGTAATCTATTACAACAGCGATTAATTATTTAAGCTATTAATACTTATTAACGATCTCTATTACTTATCTAAACAACTTATACATTTTATTTCTTCTTCACATTATTTGTCGCTAATTTTTAATAACATACACGCATTTACTTGTACGTTTTTACTGAAATTATTGATTTTTTATCTCATATTTAATTTTTTAGTTAACTTGATATATTTAATTCAGTATTACTTTAAGATTTTTTATTAGTTTTTCTACTTATACCAACACTCTTTATAATTGCTATAAAATAAAGTTGTAATAATAAATTTCATACTTTCATTTTATTCTTTCAGTTTCCCTTATGCATTTCTATCTCATAATGTTTTAAGATATTTCTATACCTATCCTCCATAAGTAAATCTAATGCTTCCATGAAAATTAAAAAAGAATTGATTTAAATAATCGTAAGAAAACAATTGAACTGTAAAATCCAATGATATTGATGAAATGAATATATTGATAATAAAAGATGAAAATGATTATATATGTATACAATGCAGGAATAGTTATTCGCACACAAAAGGCTAAGAAAGACCAAAGTACGAATGAAGCGGGCAAATAATGACATACATCCTCCCCTATTTTTTAACCACGAAAAATCATCCGCGCATATGACCTACGCACAGCAGCGACCAACAGTTTGAAAGCACTTACTGATTTCCATTAAAATCAAATTTTCTAACAAATTTTAGATCAACACCCGCTGATATAGCAAATACTAAGATGAATATATGATATTTTCACAGATTCTAGATCAATTACAATCCCAATTTAAATCAACATTTGATGCAAGTTTTTTTTATATTCTACAAACCAACCTGTTATCACATTGTATAAACATCTTTGAAAATTGTTGCAAGAAATGTAAAGTTATATAAATTTGAAAATAATTAAAAGAATTATTGGTATTGTATCTAGTGTGTATCACCAAAAGTATCAAATTATCATTAGAAGCTTATTTGACAAAAGTGAAATTTAAAAAAGAGTATCTTTTTGACAGAAACAATATAGAAAACTAAAATACTATTCATTATTTTTGCAATAAGTAATTTCCTTAATTACTTTAAGAACTTTTATTATTTTGTTTAAAATATTCTAATTCATCCAGTGATTATAAACTTTTGATCAATAATGTATTGCAAATATTCATAAAGTAAGATATGTGGTCTATTTCAAATTTCATATATGTCAAATGTATATTTTTATTTTTTACGATACAATTTTCATTTTTTAATTCATAAATTTAACACTTTTTGTATTTCATTTTCATTTCCAATAATTCTAGCATTATCAGATTTGTAAAATAAAGAAGCTGTGAAATGATCATTGATTTTTCTGTACTTAAAACCAAGTTATGAAAGTTTAATAAATTTTATGACCCTATTGTAAGTCATTTCTATTCATGTACTGCTTCATAAAGCAATCCTTCAAATAAATCCTTCATTACGAAGTTTATTCATATTTTTCATTATATTCAGCATAATACTTAGTAACATGAACAGAGAAAAGCAGATTAAAATTTATCACCCCATTTCTCCCTTTGTACACAATATTGCTTAGTGTACAATAGAATTTAATAGTTTTATCATGTATTATTATTCCATATATCATGAAAAGTTCATATAAAAATTAAATATACAATTTTGGTAAGTAGTTTTATATTACAAATTTATTTTTTATCTCTTGTTTTATTCAGTCATTTTTGTCTTTTATTACTAAATCGTACTTTTATATTATTTAATCTTATTCCATTTTCTGCTATGTATATTTTAATGTATCTACTTCAATTTGCTACTAATATCTTTTTTTGCTTTTTTAGATTTATTAAAAATTTATATTGTTGTTTTATTTACATACTTCTATGTATATTATTTCCTTTCTGTGTCTTCACTTTGCATTGTATGTTTTATGTACTCTATTTTCTTTGACTTTTCTACATATGTGCATGCAATAATAAAATATTTTCATAGAAAGCTTTCGTGCTATGTTTTGTCTATTATATTATTCTACATACCCTGATTTTTTGTAATCTTTTATTTTTATTCCCTTCTTGATTTTCCTTTTTACCTTATAGATATAATTCCGCCTTATACATAAAATTGATTATTCTGTATTAATGATTATTGCTTTGTTATATAGAGCTGTTTGATGTCAATAGCTTTTCATCATAATCATTGTTTAAACATATTTCTAATTTTTAGTTATCAATACAAAATAATATGCTGTTTAACTTCCTGAAGTCATATGCAAGAATGTTTTTCAAATATACTTAGAAATCAACAGTTATTATTTAATAATAATGAAGTTACAGTATTGTCAAATAATTTTCAATGATCTTTAATAGTTTTCTCTGAATTATATAATTTTTATTTCCTCTATTCAATGTCATTAATAATTTGATAAATATTTGCACAAATCGCTTAAAATTGAGTATCTTTATAGTATAAAGTTATTTTATTATAATTCTTTTCTAGATCAGAAATCATTCTGACTATGAGCCTTTATGTATATTGATACTGATTTAAAATTTCTTTATATTATTTTTTATCTTATTTCTATATCTTGTTTCTTTTCGAACATACATAACTTTTGTTCTTTTTTGGATGTCTTGTTTTATAATTTAAACTCAGTCTACATGTTTCTAGCTACATTTTAATAAGTGTCAAATTTTATTTGTTTTTTATATTTGTTTAATATCATTGAAGTCCCTTTTTTTATACAGTCCTCATTTTTCCGTTTTTTTTTTGTTTGTTTCATTATTATATTTTTTTTTAACCTAATTTTATCTCTGGACAATAATTTGTATCATTTTTACACAAATTCTATAATATTGCAATTTTTATTGATGCTAATTTATCTCTTCATTTCACCGTTACATTTCCTATTTGTATTCAACTTCTATTTAGAAAA